GGCGGATCTCTGTGAGTTCAAGGCCAGCCTGGTCTACATAGTGAGTTCCAGGACAGCTGGGGCTACAGGGAGACCCTGTCTCAAAAAGAACCCCCCCAAAAAACATTTATTACAAAAATAATAAATAAAATTTAAAACAAAACAAAAAACAGTGCAGGCCCCACAAAAGTTTTTCGGGGGCTGGAGAGATGGCTCAATGGTTAAGAGCACTGGCTGCTCTTGCAGAGAACCCTGGTTTGATTCCCAGCACCCACATGGTGGCTAAAAACAGTCTGTAACTCTAGTTACAGGGTATCCAACAGCCTCTCTGTCCTCCGTGGGTACTGCACTACATGGGTGCACTTATGTACATGTAGGGATAACACTCATACACATAAAATAAAAATAATAAATTTAAAAAATTTTTATCTGAAAAAACAAGGAGGATGAAGAACAACACCTGGTAGGCCAGCAATGCACAACACTTACCTGTGTGTATGTGAACGAACTCAGAAAGGGCTATTTCAAGGAGAGATATTTGCCAAGTAAAACAGTGAATCAAATGATTTTCTGATTACTTCTATTTTTATGGATATGAGTGTTTTGTCTGCATGTATGTAAGTGCACCCATATGTGCAATGCCTGTAGAGGCCAGAAGAGGCTATAAAATCCCCTGGAAATTGGAGTTAGGGATGGTTGTTAGTCACCATATTGGGGCTGGGAACCAAATTTGGGTCCTCTGCAAGAGCAACCAGTGCTTTTAACCACTGAGCCTACTCTCCAGCCCCAGATTCTTTGAATTTTAAGTATACTTGTGATGGGGCTGGAGAGATGGCTCAGTGGTTAAGAGCACTGACTGCTCTTGCAGAGAAGCTGGGTTCGATTCCTAGCACCCACATGGAGGTTATGAACCATCCTTAACTCCAGTTCCAGGGGAATCTGAAGCCCTCTTCTGACCTCCCTGGCATTGCATGACACGGCGCACTCACATATATGCAGGTAACACTCATACACATAAAATAAAAATAAAATATTTTTTAAAAAAGTGCCACTATTGCACCAATGTCATTTGCTGTGCTGGTCAGTGATGTAGTTTTTAGGCCTTGAAGCTAGGGTTGGACCATTGGTTGATGTACCAGCTTGAGTAGTGCTCTCCAGAGCTATGAGAGCTGCCTGCAGGGGAGGTGGCTTCCAGGTCAGTTCCAGTTCCATTGCTCCAAATCCTGTGTCCAAAGTATATCCTGTCTTCAGCAATAGGGTCTTATCAAGTTCTGGGAGGCAAGCAAGGACTGTGGCAACAGCCTGTGTAATTTTGGGAGTCTCTTGGGCTACCCTGGCCAACAACTCAAAGGAAGATTTTTCCTGTCTGGCACTGTTTCTTGTTATGTAGTTAGTCTTCAGCTGTACTCATGGACTCATGGGGGGATACTGTATGTGTAATTTTTCAGTAGGTTTTTGGACTAATTCGATTCCCTCTGGTTTTTCACATTAGCTAGGGGTTAGGTTCCAAGTATATTCAAATATGTAAAACAAAGAAAGATGAAAGATGATTATAACCTCTGAATTAAACTTCAGTCTGGACTGGCATTTTGTTTTTTAACAGGGTCTTGCTTTGTAACTCAGGATTGCCTCAAACTTGTGATCCTCCTACCTTAGGCTCCAGAATGCTGAGGTTCTACCATCACTCCTGGCTTATCACCCCTTGCTTGCACTGAGATCTTTTAAGCACCTTCTCTTGCTTTAACATGTGGTCAAATGTTTAACTTTTTGTTTGGTATTTTTTGGTCTTTTTGAGACAGGGTCTCCCTATAGCCCTAGCTGACCTGGAACTCGCTATGTAGACCAGACTGGCCTCGAACTCACAGAGATCCGCCTGCCTCTGCCTCCCAAGTGCTGGGATTAAAGGCATGCACCACCACACCCAGCTTGTTTGTTTTTTGAGATAGGATCTCACTATGTAGCCCTGGCTGGCCTGGAATTCACTATGTAGACCAGGCTGGCCTCTATCTCACAGCAATCCTTCTGCCTCTGCCTCTGCCTCTGGAGTGCTGGGACTAAAGGCATGCCCACCAGGCCCAGTGCACTTGACTCTTTAGTGCTTTTACTTACACCCTTCTCAGATGGGTCTAGCCACAGAGCTTCACTCACTCGTGCTACAGTTTGTACTGCTTTCCCGAATACTATGGAAAAAGAAAGGTGCTGTTTATATTCTTTATAACAGTCAAAACAGATCATAGTACTACTTCGGCATGCACAGAACTAAAGATAAATTTATAAAGAACAGTAGGATCAAGTGAACAATTTGTTCCTGAAGGTCAGATTCTTCAACTGAGACTTCCTTCCACTGAATTAGTTCCTACCACATGTGCCAAATTCCCAGAGAATTTGAAGTAGGGGTTTTTAGTACTGTAGATATTACTCATCAATCCAAGTACTGGTTATTTGGAAATTGTTGGCAACCACTCTACCCAAACTTTACAACCTATTTTGTAACACACAGTTTTGCCTGGCTCTCCCATTCACTTGACACTTGATCTTAGCCAAATTCTGAAAAGTGCTTATCACTTGCTGTGATTCACAGGCTGTGTATACTATAATGGCATGCAGCCTCTTGGCTTCCATATGCTCAGGTTAAGCCACAAGGGTCCCAATTTTGATTTGGAATCAAGAGCTATTAGCTGGGCATGGTGGCACATGCCTTTAATCCCAGCATCCGGGAGACAGAGGCAGTCGGATCTCTGTGAGTTCAAGGCCAGCCTGGTCTACATAGTGAGCACCAGCACACACAGCTGGGGCTACAGGGAGACCCTGTCTCAAAAAGACCAAAAAAAAAAAAAAGAAAAAAAAAAAAAAAAGAGAGAGCTATTAAATGTAAAGCAAAGTGCAAGACCCTGAGAAGAATTAATCACAATTTTGCCAAATTTATGTAATGCAACTGAAAATAATGGTCCCGAATCCTTTTTCCTGAATATTTCTAAACAATTTCCTTTAAACTGATAACATTTGACTCTCAAGTTTAGGTTAGAACAAATAATCTAAAATCTATCTGGGAGTTAAATTGTTCAATTGATCCATACAGCATTTTTTAAAATATTATGTGTATGAGTGCATCATATGTATACAATGCCTGAGAGGCCAGAAGAGGGAGTCAGATCCCCTGAAACTGGAATTATGGATGGTTGTTAGCTACCATGTTTAAGTGCTGGGAACAGATACAGGGTCCTTTGTAAGAGCAGCCAGTGCTCTTAACTGCTAAGCCATCTCTCCAGCCCCCCATATAGCCTTTTATAGACTAATGATACATTGGGAAATACAGTATATACTCTTGATATACATAGTAAGAGCTCAATAAATTGGAAGAATTAGTGAATTAAAAAAATCAACAAAATTGGTCCTCTTGCAAGCAAATTCCCATAATAATGCTTTATTTGTTCTGATGTTCCCCCATCCCCCACCCCCTGCTAGGGGATGGAACCCAAGGCCCTGCACATATCAGACAAGCTGTGTACCAGAGCTGTCCCCAGCCTAGTATTCCCTTTTATAAGTGGCTACTTACAATATAGCTCCCATACTTTATTATGAGCTCTTTACAACAAATCCTATCAACGAAGGTGTTAATATTAGTCCCATGTTCCAGTTGAGGAACCGAAACCTCAAAATGACTTAATAGCTTTCCCTAGGCCATACATTTTTAAAAAGGGGAAGTGGGCGGGGGATAGGCGTGGTGGCGCACACCTGTAATCGCCGCACTAGGGAGGCAGGCGGAACTCGGTGAGATGGAAGCCAGCCTAGTCTACATAACGAGGGCAGCTATGGGGATCGGGAAGGGGTCGCGAATACAGCTCAGGCTGCTTTTCTCCAGCTTCTCCCACAGTGTCCTCATCACCCCAAGTTTCCTTTCATGTTCACTCAAGTAAAAACAAGGCTTAAGTAAAACAAGGTGGACCGTCACCCCATCCGCAGCCCGCCGGGGCCTAGTGAGCGGCGCCACGCTTCACTTCCTCAGCCCTTGCACAGAAAAGCAGAGGAAGAATGAGAAGACGACGGAGACACTCCAGAAACGTTAGACTTTCCCTTTTCTACGGGGGAAGGCAAGAACGGCCGCTCCACCTTTCACCTGACTGCCGTTCATCCAGCACTTCAGCACAGCTACAGAAGAAGCGGGCATGGCTGCGAGGCGCGGCTCGGCGACCAGGTTGCCGGATGTCGCGCGTTTCCCTGCCCTGCCCCGCCCCCACTGCTTCCTCCACAGAGCAGCTTTGCTTTCTGACTGGAAAGGTCCCATGTGGGCCGCCGTCGGGCAGTCTCCCGTGAACTTCGTGTTTCATTGGTAGTGGAAGAAGTGGGCGGGTCACCAAAGAGCCTGAGGAAGAGGGTGGTGGCGTTCGTGGCGACTGAGCGGAACCCAGTGACAGGATGGTGAGCATAACCGTGGCAGCCACCCACGTCCAGCTGTCGGTCGGGATGCTGTGGCGTCGGGAGCCGCGGGGAGGCCGGGGACGAGGGCGACCGGAGGCCTCGGCTGGCTCGGTTGAGGCGACGGCATGGGGGAGGGACGGGAGGATGCGGCCGGGCCTGGCGTTGCCCTCGGACCGGCCCTTGTCCGCTGCGCGTCCCGTCACGAGATCCGCACGCGCGAGCCGGGGGAGGCCTCGGGCCTGCGGCGGGACGGGGTGCGACCGCCTTCGTGTTGCCCGGCGTTTACTTGGCAGCGGTCCGCAGGTCCCGGAGCCGGGCCATGCCGGGACAGCCGGCCGGGTGCAGAACGAGAAGCCGCCGGAGTCCACCCCGCATTCGGCCTCCAGAATAGGCGCATCCATGTCATGTGCTTGGGCAGGCAGAGCTTGCCGCTGAAAAGCAGAAGTTCGTGGTGTGTGAACTCCTGGAGGTCTGAGGGAAAACTGGGTGAATACGTGCGTGCTTTGGAGGAAGGCCGAGGTTCGCTGTAGTATTATTGGAGAGCTTTGGCTGATTGGTTCTTCGCCCTCCTCCAGGCTGCTTCGGTTGCGACCCCTACAACCTTTCTCTGTAAAATAGAGGGAGCAGCATGCTACTGGGGAAGGCACGTTACAAATCAGGCTTAAGTTAGGGTCTCACTTTGTAGCGCTGACTGATCGGGAACTCACAGAGGTCCTCCTGCTCCTGTCATCAGAGCGTGAGTACTAAAGGTGGGCGCCAACACGCCCTGCTGATGCATCACTTTTCATATGGAAAAAGAAAGAACTGGGGAAAATATAGCATTCATCAATTCTTTTTTTTTTTTAATGTGTATATGTGTATTGCCTGCGTGTAGGTAAGTGCACCCATGTCGTGCAGTGCACTTGGAGGACAGAAGGTGTCAGATCCCCTGGAACTGGAGTTATGGACAGTTGTTAGCTGCCATGTGGGTGCTGGGATTTGAACCCGGGTCTTCTGCAAGAACAACCAGTGTTCTTAACCACTGAGCCATCTCTCCAGCCTTCATCAGTTCTTTTATAAACACGTTTTATTTGGCAAAGGAGAGAGACCTTTAACATTGTCCCATATCCAAAGTCTGTGGACCCCTGTTTTAGTTGCATAAGTGTTTTTTGTTTTTATCTTTAGTTGACATTTTCACCACTTGATAATGTATTCATATTAGTATATTCTCTATCACAAGTAATAATTTTCTGCAGCACTACTAGAACCCCAAACATAAGAGAATTAAAATAAGTGTACTTGAGGGATAACTAGATACCAAAAATCCAGAAAAATGTTAGTTTGTAATCTATTATTGAGTAATTTTCCAAATTACACACGTAATTTTTTTATGTAATGTCATAAAAAGTAAACAGAATGGAAAGCAAGAAGGATGGAAGTCAATGTGGAAAACAAGATTAGAAAAAGTAGGACAGTGTTCACTGGCAAATTTACAGTGTGTGGCTTAGCCCATGTTTGAAAATACAGCAAATGTTTCTTTTGGAATTGTGTTCAGCACAACTGATTTTTAACATTTCCTCTCATAACATTCAGAAATCATTAACCATTTTTGCATATTTATTTGGTATGGGTTTTTTTGTTTGTTCTTTTTAAAATTTTTATTGCTTTCTTTTAACATCGGTCATGTTTCACCCTTTTTTTTCATTCCCCTGTCTGCAATCAACTTCTTCATTCCACTAAGGCTGGGCACAGAGTAAGTTTCTTCTCTTAGCTCCTACTAACAGTGGTGGTTGGGTGGCTGATTACTGACTGGGTTTCTCACCCTTTTAAAATCTTACCAATAGGAAGTAACCAAAGTTCCATGCTTTTATTTCTTCATATGAATTTAACAAGACTGCCATTTTCAGAATCTTTTGCTGCCTCTACTGTATGTCTAACTTGATTTGTCAGTGTGGAATTTAGGCAAGGACACACCTTGACATACATGTGTCTTGTGACAGTATTTCCCTTATAACTTGGTCACCAGCAGTAAACCATAAGATTCTGCCCTACTGTGGATCCTTAATTTCTGTGTGGTCATTCATACAGTTACAGCATTATAGTGTTAATAGTCTTAGATATTCCTGGGGATAATACGTAGCACCTTGTAGAACTTAGGTCTGACACTAATGTGCTTTCTGGTACATGCCAATTGAACAGTTCATTTTTAGTCTCAAAACATTTTCAACCCATTCTAGACTTATACCCTCTTATGAATTCAGAGTTTTTTAAATATAGAAATCTATTTTACTTTTTCTCAACTGTCAGCTTCCCACATTAATTCTGTACTTCAACCCAAATCGGAAGGAATCCCCCTCTAAAATGAAGATTGTTCTGTATCAAGGTACTTTTCTTTGATTGCCAATAAGGGTGGATACTTTGTAGTGGTTTTTAGCTTTCAAATGTCTTGTCCACTAAGACCTGCTTTGAAACAGTATATGTCATTGAACAAATATCAGCAGAAACTAACTACTCTATAAGGAAAGAATCAAGCAACCTCTTTCAAGGTGTGTTCATTTTGTGGCCTTATGTTACTTCAGTTGTTTGTGTCCTTTCTTTGCAATCATTTTTATTTTTGTTTCCAGATGAATCAGGCTTGTATTAGTAATCATTCTAGTTTCACATATTTTGGTTTTTTTGGATTAATTTTAATTTACAAAGTTGTGACAAAAACCGTTTTCCTTTATTAAACATTTAATGCTCTCCTTGATGAGCTACTAAGAAATAGTCATTCCTTGAAAAGCAGTTAAAGAACATGTGCATTTATGAACTGGGAAGTCTGTATGGGGAAAATCTGGTCTAGAATGTGAGTGCTTGTACTAATCAACATGAAAAATGAGTTCTGTGGCTCCTCAGAGGACAGGTACTATTTTTAAAAGAACTTTTGAACAATATTCTGGTAAATGACTAAATTTAATGATTTTGTTCAGTCTTGCAATTTTTAAATTTCTTAGGATTGGCACTTTTTTTGGGGGGGGTCTTTTTGAGACAGGGTCTCCCTGTAGTCCCAGCTGTCCTGGAACTCACTATGTAGACCAGGCTGGCCTTGAACTCACAGAGATCTACCTGCCTCTGCCTCCGGAGTGCTGGGATTAAAGGCGTGCGCCACCACGCCTGGCAAGGATTGGCACTTTTAAAAAAAATTTATATTTTTGACACAGGTCTCACTATGTAACCTTGGCTTGGCCCGGAACACCCTATGTAGATGAACTCATAAGACATCCACCTGCCTCTGACTTTACTTTGTCATTTGAGACTGTTTCAGCTCTAAACTACCTCCTGCTAAATTCACTTATTTAACTAACTTTTCTGTTTAATGCTCTAAAGCACATAAGAGATTGTGATTTTTTTTTTTTAAGTTCAAAATTTATCCTGTGGGTATTCAGGTGCTTTTATCCTGGTAATAAAAATATGACAGTGAAGATTCCAATTAAGGAAAATAAAGATATCAAAAATTATAAAAAGCACATACATACGTATTTATTGAACCGCTAAAGCATGAGCTCTTAACACCCCTGTAATGCTATTAGTTTGAAGTAACAAAATCAGTGAATTTGGGTAATGTTCTTCAAATAGTTCTGTCTAGTAAGCATAAATTATAAAATTAACTCTTCTGTTCATTTTTTAAAATTTAATCTTTTGTAGGGGTGGTGTGTGTGTGTGTGTGTGTGTGTGTGTGTGTGTGTGTGTATGTGTGACAGTCTTACTCTGTGACCCTGGTAGCATGGAATGGGAACTTACTTGCTGTGTAGTCCAGGCAGGCCTTTTTTTAAAGCTAGGGTCTCCCTGTAGCCCCAGCTGCCTTGGAACTCGCCATGTACCAGGCTGGCCTCGAACTCACAGAGATCCATCTACCTCTACCTTGAACTCTTAGCAGTCCTGTAAGCCACCTGAGTGCTGGGATTGCAAGCATGAACCACCATATCTAGCATATTTCATTTTTTCATTTTTGAAAATCCTCTTGTAGCTAAATAGGTTACACATTACAGTTGCACAAATATGATTTACTGTGTAATTCTTCAAAAATACCAAATTCTGTAGGGCTCAGTAATATATTTTTCATTTTGCAATTTTTGTTTTATTTAGCGTGATCTGTAGATCTCTAAATGAATTTTTTTTTTTTTTTTTGAGACAGTATCTATGTAGCTGTGGCTAGCCTGGAACTTTGTCGACCAGGCTCTCCTTGAACTTGCAGTAGGCTTCTTGCCTCTGTCTGTCTAGTGCTGGGATTATAGACATGTATCCCACACCTGGTTATAAATCACTTTATTTATTTATTATTTATTTATTTATTTATTATTTTTTGGTCTTTTTTTTTGGAGACAGGGTCTCCCTGTAGCCCTAGCTGTCCTGGAACTCACTATGTAGACCAGGCTGGCCTTGAATTCGCAGAGCTCCACCTGCCTCTGCCTCCTGAGTGCTGGGTTTAAAGGTGTGCGCCATCACACCCGGCTTAAATCATTTTTAAATGCTTGATTTTATTCTTGGTAAATAAAATAGCACAAACCTTGATATCCAAGATAAGAGTGACTTAGAAGTGTACTGTATGTTTGTTTGTTGAAATATAATAGAACTATAGGAATAACTTCTGCTCTTTTGGGTTCTGAAATCTCTGACAAGTTTAAAAAAGGAATCATGGGAAGAGAATGTTGTTTTGACATCATGTTTAATATGTCTTATCTCACCTTGATACTTTAAAGTTGGTGTTGGTGTTAGGAGATCTGCACATCCCACACCGGTGCAACAGTTTACCGGCCAAATTCAAAAAGCTGCTGGTACCAGGAAAGATTCAGCACATTCTCTGCACTGGAAACCTTTGCACCAAAGAGAGTTATGACTATCTCAAGACTCTGGCTGGTGATGTTCATATTGTGAGAGGAGATTTTGATGAGGTGATGTATTTCCCTTTCCATCTATTCCATCTACTGCCCTTTTTGATTCTTCTTTACATAAGCTTTATCCTCTAGACTAGAATTTTTCCACTGCTAAGATCTTTTTTCTTTTTTTTTTTCAATTGAGACAGGGTCTCCCTGTAGCCCTAAGCTGGCCTGGAACTGGCTGTGTAGACCATGCTGTCCTCAAATTCACAGAGATTCCCCTGCTTCTGCCTCCCGAGTGTTGGGATTAAAGGCATATGTCACCATGCCCAACCTTTTCCTTTCTTTTCTTTTTTTTCCAGCTTTAAATATATTTTTATTTATTGTTTTTATTTTATGTGTATGAGTGTATTGCCTGCATGTATGTGAGTGCACCTGTGTTGTGCAGTGCCTCGAAGGTCAGAAGAGGGTGTTGGATTCTCCTGGAACTGGAGTTAAGGACAGTTCAAAGCCGCCATGTGGGTGCTGGGAATTGCACCCGGGTCCTCTGCAAGAGCAATCAGTGCTCTTAACCGCTGAGCCATCTCTCCAGCCCCACCTTTTCCTTTCTTTTAAAAGTTTCCAAGGGGGGCTGGAGACATGGCTCAGCAGTTAAGAACACTGACTGTTCTTGCTGAAGACCTGGGTTCAAATCCCAGCACCCACATGGCAGCTAACAACTGTCTGTAACTCCAATTCCAGGAGATCCGACTGCCTCTTCTGTCCTCTGTGGGCATTACATGACACGGGTGCACTTACTTACATACAGGCAATACACGCATACACATAAAATAAAAATAATAAAATATTAAAAAAAAAAAAAAAGTTTCCAAGGGCCTGGACATGTAATTCATTGGCAGAACACCTGAGTTTGCATAATGCCCTGGGTTTAATCTTCAACATCATGCAAATTTTTAAAGTAAATCTTTATTATTGCTTTTTAATGTGTGTATGAAATGTATTGCCTGCACGTGTGTAAGTGCGTCCATGTCATGCAAGCAAATTTTTTTCCCCCAAATATAAAATTATAGGATGGGAGCAGCACTGTTAGCTTTGATAGCTTTGCAAATATTTACAGATATATAATGAAATATTGGGGATAAGACCCAGGTCTAAACATGAAATTATTTTATGTTTCATTCATATATACCTTATACACACAACCTGAAGGTATGAAGTAAATTCCAGACCAACTTAGGCAACAAAGTAAGACCCTGTCTGGGTGAGGGGAAAATATAAAAAAAAAAAAAAATTAATTTCAACTTTGTCCATTAGTTATTAAATAAGATTTTTGGCAAATTATCTTCTGATCCTTAATATGATAGCAATAATTAACTTTTTAAGACCTCTGCCAAGTATTGTATCATTTAGAATAAATCTGATTCCAGTATAAAGAAATTATTTTCTATTTCTGGGAATCTTAAGCTTTTCAAAAAATATTTAACTTGGTGCTTTCAAAGCATTCCTTTAGAGATCTGCCTGCCTCTGTCTCCCAAGTGCTGGGATTAAAGGCTTGCGCCACTATATCCGGCCTTAATTTTAAAAATATTTACAAAATAAAAAGTTTGGGTAAGCTATGAAGGTAAAAGTCTAGGGAGATAAGAAAGGACAAACTACGTGTTTATTAGGATATAGGTCTGGTTTATTGAAAAATACAAACTAGGCTTCTATTTATGTTAAAGACAATTTCTAAGTGTTAAATTTCATTTCTAATTTGGTAGATTCACGAACCCTTGAGCCATGTTACCTGAGTTTGTATCTTACCTTAACCACTTAGTGGCATGTAACCTGGGGCAAGTTATTTCAGTTTCTTTGTGCCTCACCCATAAAATAGGTATCATGACTATCAATATGTCCTAGTTTACAGGTCATGTATCCTAAGTTGAGAAAAATCACAAGTTTAGGGGAATAATTTTTTTTAATTGCATTTATTTAGTGGGGAGTGGTTTATGCATGGTACTTATGGGAGTCAGAGGACAGTTTGTGGGAGTCAGTTCTCTCCTTCTACCATGTGGAATTCAAGGATAAAATTTCAGGCTTGGTAGCAAACACCTAAACCCACTGAGCCATCTCATAAGCTCAGAAATAATTATTCTTTAAAGCATGCCTGAAGAATACATATTCTGTAGAAATAAACTCTGTAAAGGAGTTGCCTGACAAAACCCAGTTTATATTGAATAAATTACGTTTTAAACATAGTTTCAGCCTTAGAGACTGAGAAGAAACCATTTTTATAAGTGCATTTGTTGTGAGGTATTCTCTGGAGACCTAGATGAGTTTGAATATTTTAACAAATTGGTTAAGTATCACTTTTTCTAAAGTGTGTGTTTTATGTCTTATTTCTTGTATTAGAATCTGAATTATCCAGAACAGAAAGTTGTGACTGTGGGACAATTCAAAATTGGTTTAATCCATGGACATCAAGTTATTCCGTGGGGAGACATGGCTAGCTTAGCCCTGTTGCAGAGGCAATTTGATGTGGACATTCTTATCTCAGGACACACACACAAATTTGAAGCATTTGAGCATGAAAATAAATTCTACATTAACCCAGGTTCTGCCACTGGGGCATACAACGCCTTGGAAACGTAAGTAGTGTACAGTGTAGGAATGGAGCTTTAGTAAAGTTAATTATATGTGTAACAGTTCATAAATGAGAAATACGGTAAATAAGTTCTTGTTAAAACTTTTGGTATTCCTTTTCTTAATATGCAAGTAACAGATTTCTCCTTGAGTGCAACTTATCGTAGATTAAAATTTTATAGTGCTGTTGCTTTTTAATACAAAACACTGACATTATTTTTCTTGTTCCAGAAATATCATTCCGTCATTTGTGTTAATGGATATCCAGGCTTCTACAGTGGTCACTTATGTCTATCAGCTAATTGGAGATGACGTGAAAGTAGAACGAATCGAATACAAAAAATCTTAAAGCCAGACCTGTCTTGATAATTTCCTGTTTGTTTTTTCATTCCCTTGTTCAGATCAAATAATTAAACACTTAAGAGCTACATAACTGTATCACTTTTATAATATTTGCAGTAAAATGTCTTCTCTGTTAATACATAATTGCTCTAAGCTTGTAAACTATATTTAGTTTGCAGTATATGGTTTCTATGAAAATAAAAAAGTTCTCTACACAGTACATGGTCATGTTAGAAAAAGTTAATCTTTGTAAATATCTTCCAAATTGGTATTTAGACTTTATTACAAAAACTAGTGCATGAATAGAAGGAATCTAGGCTTTCTGTATACATTTTTCTCTTCTCCAGTAATAAATGTTTACCTTTCATTTATACTTTCTTGGAAACCTGTGTTCAATTTAAAAACATAAAAATGAGAAACCAATTGAAAATGCAGATGTATTAAAGAGGTAGCAGATGTGGTGGCACATGCCTGTAATCCAGCACTCAGGAGACCTAGGTAGGAAGATTGAGAGTTTGAAGTTAGTCAGAACCTGTCTCAAAACAAAAAGGACATGGATAACATGAACTTTCTGAGCTTGCTTACAGCATATGTGTCTTAATATTAGACCTGTTCCATCTTAGCTTCTCAATAATGTACCACACTGTCTTAGTAAATAAGCATTTACTTACTTGAGTCTAAACTGTTGCTGCACTTGTTTTTGTCAGCATTTAGCAACAAAGTTTGGGGTTTTTTTTTTTTTGTTTTTTGTTTTTTTTTTTGAGACAGGGTCTTACCATGTGTTTCTGGCTAACTTGGAACTCACTATGTAGATCAAGCTGTCCTCAGATTTACTGAGATATGCCTGCTTCTGCCTCCTGAGTGCTGGGATGAAAAGTGCACACCACTACACCTGGCTTGTACATAGTTTTTGTTTTGTTTTTTTAAGATTTACTTTGTTATTTATGTGTATGTATGTGTTTCTTGAATGCACATGTGGGCACCCACCCAGACCAGAAGAGGGCCTAGGATCCCCTGGAGCTGGAGTTATAGGCAACTGTGAGCCACCTGATGTGGGTGCTGAACAAATAGCAAATATTTATTGAGCAAGTTGGGGTTTTATCTCTACAAATGCTATTCTGTATCTGGATATGTTTCAGTTTTCCTATTTTGGTCAAGAGAAAATGTACAGAATAATGTTACTATTTTAGAACTGATTATAAACTGAAAGAAGGAATTGATACATTTGTTAGATTTAAAGAAAAATTCAGTTCTATGTGCCAGGAAATATTTTAATTGTTTCTAGCAAAAAATAAGCATACATTATACAAATATCATTGGTACACAGTACATTAGGCCAAGAATATTGTAAATTTCTGAACAAACCAAAATTAATGACTCAGTGGTGAATATCACTATCTCATACAGAGGATATAATTGTCCACCTTTGGCACAGTATCTGGATGTCAGCTGATGGTTTAATTTGGTATACAACACTCAAGATAACATCAGATTTAACCCTGTTCTTGAATTGACATTGACTGCATGCACTTATTCAGTAAATTGTCTTCCTTTTTTTCTTCAATCATATATGGTTCAGAATCATTTGAAGAAACTGACGGAAAAATAGTTTATAATGTCAGTTTTGGAAATAAAATTCTAAGTATTACTTTCAAAATGACCCAGCTTATTAATAAGCTATTAGCAAAGACAAATTGTCTGCAGTTTTCAGCTTTAGCCTCCCATTTGCCCCAATTCCTTAATATAGAGTCAGAGTACTGTATTCTAGCAGTGACTGCGTAGCAAACTGAAGTACTATATTCCCATTGACTTTCAAAATCTCTTGGGAAGTTAGTGTGTGTGGTCAGTTATATGTTCATTGTCTCTCCATTTTCCTTTAGTTCCCTCTCATTGGGGACCAGAACAGTTTTTCTCCTGCTGGGGTTTCCCTTAACTTTTTAGAACCAGACTTAACTTTCTCCCCTCCCCTTTCCCTTACCTTGGGTAGGGATAATATGTTAAGCAGTGACTAAGAAATACTTTTATTTTTTATTTTTTGGTTGTATTGGGGGATTGTCATAGAGCCTTACACATGCTAGGCAAGCCTTAACCCAAAAATGTAACACTATTATAGCACAGTTTAAATACTACAGCTTTTGTTGTACATTTTTGGTGGTGGTGGTAGGTTTTTTTGAGATAAGACAATCTCGTGTAGCCCAAGTTGACCTCAAACTCACTAAATAGCCCAGATGACTTTGAAGTCCTGACCCTCTTGCCTCCTCCCAAGTGCTGAGAGTACAAGCCTGTGCCACCACAGGTGGTGATAGAAGTCTTTCTCCTTCCTCCTGGTTTTACCGTACTCCTTGATGCAGAAGCACCATGTGTCTCCTATTGGAGATGTTTGCATTATTTGGAATTTGAATGAGAACATCAATTTAGCTGATCCAGAAAGTTATTTCTCTGTGTGTGAATATGTACACGTGCCATGGTGCATATATGGAGGTCAAAGGACAACTCTGAGGAGTCCTCTTCCACCATGGATTCTGGGGCTCAAATTTAGGTTGTTGGACTTGCATGGCAAATGCTTTTACCTGCTGAGTCATCTTGCAGGTCCTGATCAAATTTATGGGTGCAAATCCATAAGATATATTGTAAAAGAAATGGCATAGACAGGTGTGGTGGCATATGCCTGTACTCCCAGCACTTGGAAAGCTGAGGCAATCCTGGGCTATAGACCCTGTCTTAGAAATGCAAAAATTCCCAAAGTGTCATATCCCATTCAGCTCAGTAAAGAGGAAGTAGTCTTCCTCATCCAAGTTTAGCAAAGTGAACATATTAGGGAATGTGATCAATATCACAAGGCTACCCTTCAGATAGAATTTGGTAGAAACAGCCCTTCTTTGTTTCTCATTGGTCTCCAAAAGCAATGTATGATCATTTCAGGTGCTGCTACACTCAGAGTCCCCTCTTTCCAGCTGGTGTCGCCATGTAGTGCAGGAGAAATGGCTGTTTCTGAGTAGTGAGCGCTGACACAGCTCGTGTCATGAGTGAGGACACTTGTCACACAAATCACCTCTGTTATGAGACCCTGCCACTATACCTGCCTGGCTTTTGTGAAATGTGATGAAACACATGCATGTACTGCCTCTTCATTAAAGTTCTCAGCTAGCTCGAGTTGCACATCTTAACAGTGTTCCACAGATAACACTTCTAGCCTATGGTGAGTTCTGGATGCTGAAACATGGAATAAGGGGTTCATTGTAGGACACAGGTTAACAGTCTTACTGAAAGGATGGATGTTGAGGAGGCTGTACATCTTTACATTTTCCATGAACAAATTCAACTGTTTACTTAGTCAAAAGAGAGAAATTGCCATTTATTAAAGTATGTAAATGGGGCTGGAGAGATGGCTTACTGGTTAAGAGCACTTGCTACTCTTGCAAAGGACCTGGGTTCTGTTCCAAACACTCAAAATTGCCTTCAACTATGGTTCCAGGGGACTGTGGGCATTGCATGCACGGTGTATATACAAACAAGAAGGTATATACACATACACATAAATACAATTTTGGCAGCTAACAACTGTCTGTAACTCTAGTTCCAGGGGATCCGACAGCCTCTTTTGTCCTCCGCCGGCATTGCACAACACAGGTGCACTTACCTACAAGCAGGCAATACACACGTACACATAAAATAAAAATATTGGAAAAAAAAAAGGATTCAATGACTCTGGCTGCCATTCTACTCAATTCAGAAGTCCATTGAGCTTTGAAAGCACCAAAGGAACAGGTTCCTAAGGGAAGAACCTTAGAAGAATAAGGAGGGACTCAGCTGTCAGCAGGTTTTAGTCCCTACATACCTCTTGATGGTGGGCATCTTGCCTTTTTTAAATAAACACATTTTATATATTTCGTGTGCCTGTGCACATACGTGCAAGTGCTATGGCACAAGTGGTCAGAGGACAACTTGCAGGAGTTGGTTCTCTTCTCCTACCATGTGGGCCCCAGGAATCAAAACCAGGTTCTCAGGCTTGGTGTCAAACAACTTTACCTGATGAACCATCTCACCTGCCCTTGCCTTCTTAACATGATTTTTGAAGTATAAGATGGTACCTTAAAGCAACTCAGGTTACTCAGTTTCAACTAAAATCTAGAAGCCAAAGAGCAACTATCTCTGTGGGGCATAATCCCCGCAGGATAGTTGGTTTCTGATCTGAATTTTTTTTTTTTTTTGAGACAGCTTCTCTCATAATCCCAGGTTGGCCTTGAATTTGTTGTATAACTGAGAATGACCCTGAACTTCTGGTCTACTTGTTTTCATTCCCTGAACACTCAGATCACAGGGGTGTGCTACCATACCTGATTTTTCCTGTCTAATTTTGACTGAGTGTACTACCTGTTTAAATAAATGTATCTTTATGATGCAAGACTCAGCTATTTATGTATTTATATACACCCCCCCACACACACACATACACACAGGCAGAATTGATATTAATGAACAGGTAATAAGTCCATAGAAGGGTAAGAATATTGGCCGGAAAAACTTAACCTGTGTACAAAAATCTATTGACTTCAATTCAATGCTCTAGAGATAACATTTCTAGCAATAATGGGGGTTTTGTTGGTTGGTTGGTATTTGAGACAAAGTCTCAAATGTAGCCTAGGCTAGCCTCAATTCCTGATCCTCCTGTCTGTACCTCCCAAGCACTGGAATTAGAGGTATGTACATTGCACTTGAGTTTTTTGGTTTGTTTAAATAAGGTCTCAGTATGTTATAATGGTGGTCTCAAACTCTTGGGCTCTAACCTCCTGCCTCAGTCTCCCCAGTAGTTGGGATTACAGGTACATGCCACCATGCCTAGTTCTCACAGCTGTCATCTTTTTTTTTTAATTATTTAATAACCACATGATTAGAAGAAGCATTTCATTACAGCATTAATGACATATTCAATAACAATTTTCTGAGCTAAGATGAATCTTTTTTCAAAATTGGCTGTAAATATGTTCACAATTGAATTAATAGTTATACAATACTGAACTCAGTATAAACCCTATAAGACATAAAATTGAATGAGGTTTTAAGCTTTAAAAAAGATCTCCTTTCATTATTAAAATACACAGGTTCATACAGAAAAACTCATTTTTAATGCTACTAACACTTAGATGTTTGCACACACGTCTCTAATATGTATCTGATTATTACTAGTCACAATTGGTTACTTTCTGAGATCCTTGGCACCAGAGCATGGATGTAAAATCATCAGGTAGATTTCAATGATAATGTTTTTCACCTCTACTAATTAACATGAAGCAAATTTTTATGCTTTTTTTCAAATACAACTCATTTTACTTTTTTTTTTTTGTATTTTATAGGACATCCCAAACAATCTTTTCTATATACCCACATCCCAAATGGCACCCTCCCATAGTCCACCCCCCTACACACACTGGAGCCCATATACTCTGTAATTCCTGTTACTGTCCACTGTGTTGTTGGTGCCTCCAGCTGTTCCCCAGTGCTTCTCCATCCGCTGAATCTAGTCAGTCTATCTAGAGTTCCTTGTTTTAGGAAGATCAGCTCTTCCTCATCTAGTGGCAATCAGTTGCAAATATTATAGCTGACATCTTTAATGAACACCACAAGCCAACAACAGTTGTGAAATACTTACTGTGTTCTTTACCTATTTCCTTCTCCCTGTGTAGCCCTGGCTAGCCTGGAATTCCTTACGTAGACCAGCCTGACCTTGAAGAAGAGATCTGCCTCCCTCCATTTTTGTTGGTTTTGTTTTTGTTTTCTGTTTGCTTGTTGAAGCTTGAGGACAATTTTATTAGAACTTGAGGAAAAAAAAGAAAAAAAAACACGGAGAGGCAAGCTAACAATCCCAGTAGCTGACGGGAGAGAGAGAAAAAGTCATGTCTTTTAAGTTAGGTATGGGGGTTAGAGAAACAGAAAGCCCAGAGTGCTAAGAAAAACACTTGGGCTTTTGGCCAGTGCCTGAAAGAAAAAGGGAAAAGTTAGTTTCTTCAAATTAGGTCTCAGAAAGGCAGGCAGGCAGGCAGGCTCTGCGGTGCTACATGATGGAAACTTTGCAGGAAGCTGCTTTCAGTGCCTCCTTGATGATATGCTAGAGAGGGTCTGGAGAGATGGTTCAGCAGTTAAGAGCACCAGCTGCTCTTCCAAAGGTCCCAGGTTCAGTCCCAACACCCATGTGGCAGCTGCCAGTAACTCTTAATTCCAGGAGGGCTCTGACGCCCTCTTCTGGCCTCCACAGTCGTATGACATGGGTTCACATACATGCAGGCAAAACACTGATACACAAAAATTTTAGCTGGGCATGGTGGCACATGCCTTTAATCCTAGCACTCCTGAGGCAGAGGCTGGTGGATCTCTGTGTGTTCAAGGCCAGCCTTGTCTACACAGTGAGTTCCAGGCCAGCTAGAGCTACAGGGAGACCCTGTCCCAAAAAGACCAAAAATAAACAAAAATAAAATTTAAATTTTAAAAATCGAAGTGAGGTGGGCTGGAGAGATGACTCAGCAATTAAGAGTACTGACTGCTCTTGCAGAGGACCTGGGTTCAATTCTCAGCACCCATACAGTAGCTAACAACTATCCATAACTCCAGTTCCAAGGGAATCCAATACTTCTGACCTCTGTGGGCATTGTACGACATGGGGTGCACTCAAATGCAGACAATACACTCATAAAAATAATTATGGAACTTTCAAAATGGCTCAGTGGATGAAAGCCCCTGCCATCAAGTCTGAGTTCAATCCCTGAGTCCCACATGGTGGAAGGAGAGCAGCAACTCCTGCAAGTCATCCTCTGACCTCCACATACATACACACACAAAGTAATTTTTTTTTTACTTTTAATTTCATCCACTTACCTTTAGAAAGGACGCATCTGTCATTGATTTAGGGATGAGAATTGTTTGAATTTGAGTAGTTTTCCATAACTCCTACAGCTTGGCAATATGTGAATGTACTTTATATCCCTCTTTGAATCTATCTGTAGGCAAAGACAGTGTGTGAATTTCTGAAGCAAAGATCGTTAGTAGTATAAAGCTCTTTATGTGTATATGAGTTTTAATATTTTTAAAAATATTTTTATTTTATGTGTATGAGTGTATTGCCTGCATGTGTGTGAGTGCACTCATGTTGTGCAATGTTGCAGAGGTCAGAAGAGGGCTTCAGATGCCCCTGGAACTGGAGTTAAGGACAGTTTTTAGCCACCATGTAGGTGGGAATCAAACCCAGGTCCTCTGCAAGAGCAGTCAGTGCTCTTAACTGCTGAACCATCTCTCCAGCCCCATTTTAAAAAATATTTTATAATTATTTCTATTTTATGTGTATGAGTGTTTTGCCTGCATGTGTGTAAGTGCACTACGTGTGTGCAATGCCCACAGAGGACAGAAGAGGGTGTCAGATCCCCTGGAACTGTAGTTATGGATGGTTGCTAGTTGCCATGTGGGTGCTAGGAATTGAACCAGGGTCCTCTGCAGAAACAGTACTCTTAACCACTGCACCATCTCTCCAGCCCCCAATATGGGTATTTTAAGTCAGTTAAATTTGAAGGAACTGTATCATATAGTCTTTGGTTTTAGAGCACACAAACATCTTGAATTGACATGTCTCCAAAGATGTAGAAATAGCCAATAAACACATAAAAAGATGCTCAGAATCACTAATCATCAGATAAATGCAAATAAAAATATTTGGGCCAGTAAGATGGCTTAGAGAGTAGATACCTGCTGCACAATCTCAGTTCAGTCCCTGGAATGTAAAACAAAGGAGAGAACTGACTTCAAGTTGTTCTCCGACCCACACACACATACCTTCACATGCACACACAGTAATTTAATGACTATTATATTTATGTATATACACACACGTTTGCATTTTTTCTAAGTAGCTGACAGGCTATAATTTTCCAAGGAAAAGCAAAGTGAGTACAGATTTGCTTATCATTAAAATTTTTCAAAAATTTATTGTATATATGTGGATTGTGGAGGCAGGGACAAGGCTTATATAAGTCAGAGAGTTGTGGAGTTGGTTCTCTCCTTCTACCTGTGCATCAGTTCCAGGGATCAAAGTCAGGATGTCTGACTTGCATGGCAAGTGCCTTTACCCACTGAGTCATCTCACTAACCCAGTATCATTTGAATGAAACGATCACTACTAATATATGTTGTGTTTATTGCCAGTGCCAGCCGGCCAAAACGGAGAGTACCTGAAAGGGGGAGTGAGGATTGAAAGGAAAGGAGACAGAAAAGATGCTTGGGAGGGCTCACAGTGAATACTGCAGCCTTGATTTATTTCAGTTCTGCCTTTTTATACAGAAGAACTCAATTAGTTACAACTGCTGTTTTTCCCCACCTGTATCTGAGGGTCAGCAAGCGGTCAGATCAAAGGCTTCCACTATTGCAGGTGTTGTGAGGCTCTCCATATAAACATATTCCTCCTAATAAGGCAGATTAGATACTGGTGTGCATAACACACACTCAGTAAACAAGCCTGACGCAGCTGAATGATTAGCGGCTCCCGACAGTTTATTTATTTAATATACATTCCCATGCCACCAAGGCCAGTAAACTCTACCTCCCTTTACCCTTCTGCAAAATTTGCAAAAGGCCTTTAGGAGCCTGTTTTTACTCCCTGAGTATATTGCCTGCATGTATGTAAGTGCACCCATGTCATGCAGCGCCCACAGAGGTCAGAAGAGGGTGTCAGATCCCCTGGAACTGGAGTTACGGACAGTTTTTGGCTGCTATGTGGGAACTAAACCTGGGTCCTCTGCAAAAGCAATCAGTGCTCTTAACGGCTGAGCCATGTCTCCAGTCTACCTTATGTCTACTTTAAAAACTGTGGGCTAGGTATGGTGGTGCATGCTTTTAATCCCAGCACTCAGGAGGCAGAGGCAGGTAGATCTCTGTGAGTTCGAGGCCAGCCTGGTCTACATAGTGAGTTCCAGGCCAGCTGGGGCAACAGGGAGACCCTGTCTCAAAAAGAACAGCCGGGTGTGGTGGTGCACACCTTTAATCCCAGCACTTGGGAGGCAGAGGCAGGTGGATCTTTGTGAGTTCAAGGTCAGCCTGGTCTACATAGCGAGTTCCAGGACAGCTGGGGCTACAGGGAGACCCTGTCTCAAAATGACAAAAAAAAAAAAAAAAAAAAAAAGAAAAAAGAACAACAAAACTCCATTGTGCAATTAGTTACAACTTGGCTTCTCTCAGCTCTGTAATTTACATGTATTACCTGCTTTATACTACTCACCAGTACCTTTGGAATTCTGGAAATAAGAATGTTCAGCTGATCTGTTAGAAAACAATATGCATAATATGCAATAACTGGCAAGTTGATGAACACTAAAGGTCCAGTTTCAAATGGCAAAGGGACAGCATTGCATGCTATTTTCATTTTCCTCAGACGTCTTACAAATTTTCCCTTCCAATTCAGTTACAACTCTAAGCTTTTTCTAAGTGAGCCATCAGATTTTTATCATATTAGGATGTGTTACTGTCACTGAGACTGAGTTGTCAGCTTGAAACACCTAGGAAGAAATCTCATTTGAGGAATTTCCTCCGTCAGAGTGGCCTGTGGGGCATTTTCTTAATTGTTAAAATTGATATAGGAGGGCCCAGCTCACTGTGGGCTGTGTCATCCCTAGGCAGGTGGACCTAGGTTATATAAGAAAGGTAGCTAGAGGAAGTGAGCCAGTAAGCAGTGTTCCTTGGGAACTCTGCTTCAGTTCCCACCTCCAGGTTCCTGCCTTGGCTTCCACTTAATAGTGAACCACTGAAAGGTATAAGATGAAAGAAACCCTTTCTTTCCCAAGTTGGCTTTGGTCAGTGTTTTATTGCAGCAACAGAGACGCTAACTAGGATACAGGGGGTAGAACCTAGGGCTCATAACTGCTAGGCAAGTGCCCTATCACTGAGCCATATCCCCAGACTGATTTTAAGTCAGATTTTATCTCATTTTTATAGCTTCCTAATTCATTTCTACAGTGAGTCAATTAAGTAGTTTGCATTCTTGTTCTATCCACAGGATATCCTTCTTGTTCTTTAATAAAGTAATTTAGATACTGAAAAAAAGTGATTGTTAAGTGGTACTGGAACTGCTAAGTTGGTTGTTAATGTTTCCAGTTTTGTTCAGGTTCTTTTTACTTTTCTCAAACTGTTTCCTGCAGTTTATTCAAGTCTATTCAGTGACCATGAGTTCATTGATCCAGCACTCCTTCAAGCACTGTGAAGAACAGAAAACAGAGGATCGCACCCCATCTTTGAGCTATATGTCTATATTTGTATCTCTCTATATATACATACATTATATATACAAAATGACCCATTGAACTGGCTCAGCAAACTTACCTAAGTTACTCCATTTTGTTCAGAGCCATTTCAGCAGCAACTTTGCTCCACACCGAAAGGAAAAGGGGGGCAACCTTGGGCCTTGGAAAATTGCCCTCGCCATGAATCATGGACTGTGCTGATTCCAGATATTATATTTTTACTAACCAGCTTGTTTTCGCTTCTGCAACCTGCTTGCTGTCTTGGGTCGCCCTGACACAGGGCACAAGACCACCCTTGTTATCCTGTTATTGTATGACCACCTAGAAGTTATTTACCTTGACTGTCTTATTTTACTTGTTATGGCTAAAGCAGTTGGCTAGTTTTTAATGTCACAAAGTTGAGTGCCAAGTTATATGACTGTATCGCTTATCTGTACAATGACTGGTTGTTAATTAATAGAATCAAAATACTGCTATGTTGTACAAACCTGATTGGTTCACAAATGTCCTGTTTTAATAATAATTCTGTAATCCTATAAAAACTCTGACTTAACAATCATCAGGGCTGCTTCTACTCCCGAGATAGACAGCCCGGCGGTCGAAAATTAAAATTTACCTTGCTACTTTTCTTAAAGTGGTGTTGGTGATTTTTTACAAACTCTGTCCTATAACAGCCATGGGTTCAGCATGAGCCACAATTGTGGACCTAATTGATTGAACCCCAGACATCCTACTGCTCTTGATTTTAGGGAACAAAGCAAGGAGATGCCCACAGCAATTACTTCAGCTAACTGACCTCACCACCCAGGAAATCTAAGTTAAAACCCGCCCATGCCAGACATGGTGGCCCACTAGGGAAGCTGGCGGAGGAGGATCTCCCAGTTTGTGACCACCTGAGCTATGTAGTGAAACTCTGCTTGAAAAAAAACATTCGACCAGACTTGGTGGCCTTACATCTGTTACCCTAGCACTCGGGAGGTGGAAGCAGAAGGATGAGTAGTTCACCTCTAGAACATAAGAGTTCAAGGCCTGCCTGAGCTACATGGAACTATTTTTAAAAAGTCAAAATCAAGGTGCCTGTAATGGGCATAGTCTTCTGTCTCGCGGGCGTTTGGCTAGCCCTGACAGGAGGCCAGCGTCCCAGGAACTGGTCTGGTAGCTGCGGCACTTCTCTAACCCTCCCGGGACACATTCACATCCTGCTCGGAGGTTCTGCTGCGAAGCCTTTCCACTAGCAACCGGCAACCTCCACTTCCCTGTCCGGTCTCCCAAATGTCCCCTTCCTGTCACTCGCGCCACCTCTGCAGAGTCCCCCAAACCTCCGGGGCTCACCCGCCACCGTCCTCGGTCCCAGCCCTGGCGGTCGGCTCCACAGCCCCGGGACAGTGGCTCGGCATCTTGTCCGCACGCGTGCGCCAGCGCCGGCGGGCGGAGCCCGGTCGAGAAGAAACGGCTGCACCGCCCCAGGGCTTCGCTCCGAGGCTAGACCCGGGAAGGCGGCGGCCCGGCTTTGATGCTGGGAGTTGGCATCCAGCGGTGAGAGGGACGCATGGCGGGAAGGCGGTAACGCACCCTCCCTGAAACAAAAGATGCCTTCCAGCTCAGTACTCCAGACTCTCGGCGGACCTGCAGCTCGGGGTGGTTACCCTCCAAGTCAAACCCAAGAAGGTGCGACACTAGGCACGGAGCGTTAGTTGCCAACGAACCGCTACCGCCTGGGCAACCGGACTCCGCCGGTCTCAACGGCCGCCGCCTTGCAGCGGCGCACGTACACCTTCGAGTCTCCGCCTCCTCGGTTTTCCTCCGCACGCGTTTCTCCGAAGATTTGGCCCTCGGGACGCCCGGTAGTCAGGCGTGTCCTAAGCACCAGAGCCGGAAAAGGAATCTAAGTTGCGATTGGCTCGCACCTTGTGTTCCGGGAACGCTGGGTACAGCGCGAAGGCGAGGGCAGACTGAGAAGAGTGGTGCGGACCAGAGCCGGCATGCCTCGTTACGCGCAGCTCGTCATGGGCCCGGCGGGCAGCGGGAAGGTGGGTTTGTGGGGCTGGCCCCGGGGTACCATAGGTAATTAGCTTCTCTCTGTGCCTTCTTTGGTTTTATTTGGGAGTCATGGCAATTGTTAACAGTTATTGGGGGGCTCGGAGAGAGGGCTCAGCGGAGAAGAGCACTGGTTGCTCTCGCATAGGACTCGAGTTCGGGTCCTTGCACCCACGTCGGGCGGCTTAAGACAGCCGCCTGTGACTCCCGCTAGCTCCTTGGGGATCCGACATTTCTGGTCTCCTTAGACATCTGCACTAAAGTGTACGTGACCCTCCCACCCTTTGGGATAATTAAAATAAACCTATAATAATCTGTATACTTATGCTTCATGTACTGCGCCGGGCACCTCGTGTTTTTAAAAGCACCGGCTGAGCCAGGATCGTCTTCCCAAATTACAAATAAGACACAGAAAGGTTAGTTCCTTTTTCAAGATCACAGAAATTAGTAGTTTGAGCCAGGATTTGAGTTCAGTTTTGTTGACTTCCAGAACGTGATTTGTCATTTACTCTTCCGCAGAAGTTTGGGTCCTGGGTTCCGGTCTAGCTCTGGGAGGGTGGAAAAAATGTTGGAACATGGATTTCTGCATTCTCCTTTTTAAGGCGATTATTAGGTGGTACATTGAGAAACAGCTTATATATTGAGAAAGTTCCATCTGTTTTCATTTCACATCCCAGGAAGGGAGGTCTTGTTTTATGTATCTTGAACACTTAATTCCTGAGTCTTATTTCTAATAGTAGATTTTAGATTTGGCTTTTATTTTTGTTCTTTTAGTCTTTTTTATGTGTATGAATGTATTGCCTGCATGTGTGTAAGTGCACTCCTGTTGTGCAGTGTCTGAAGCAGTCAGAAAAAGGCGTCAGATCTCTTGGAACTGGAGTTTAGGACAGTTGTTAGCTGCTGTGTGGGTGCTGGGAATTGAGTCCGGACCTCTGCAAGAGCAGTCAGTGCTCTTAACTGCTGAGGTATCTCTCCAGCCCCTTTTTAAAATTTTTTATTTTATTTTATTTTATTTTAATTTTTTTGTTTGAGACAGGGTCTCCTTGTAGCCCCAGCTGGCCTGCAACTGTATAAATCAGGCTGGCTCATAGAGATTTGCCTACCTCTGCTTCCCTAGTGCTGGGATTAAAGGCCTTACCCACCAGGCCTGCCCTAGTCTTGGCTTTTAATAGGCAGCAGCAGTATTAGCCCACCAGGGTGATGGTATGCCTTTGATCCCAACATTTGGGAAGCTGAAGGTAAGAGCTATATGACAAGACCCTGTCTCCAAAAGGAAAAAAAAAGACCTAAAATCTAGTGTTCTAATTGGTGGAGTTTGGTGACATGCCCACCTCCTGGTTAAGGTAAGGGGAGCTGGTTGTTAGAATAAGAAAATGAAGAGTGAATGCAGAGGCATTCAGGAGTGGACTCAAGAGTTGGTAAACATCATATAGCTCCTGCCATGCCCTGAGTAGGCTTTCAGTATAAACTGATTCCAGAAATGAGGCTGGGGGACACATGCCTATTATCCCAGCACTGGGTAGACTGAGGCAGGAGCAAAGTTGTACGTAAAAAATAATAGAGCGCTAGAGATGGCTCAGCAGTTAAGAGCACTTGCTGCTCTTGCTAAAGCCCTGGGTTTGAATTTCAGCACCCACGTGACGGCTAACAACTGTCCAGTTCCAGGGATAAAAAATAAGAAAAACCAGACCCTTTAAAATAATAATAGTTGGGCGTGGTGATGCACACCTTTAATCCCAGCACTGGGAGGCAGAGGCAGGTGGATCTCTGAGTTCAAGGCCAGCCTGGTCTACATAGTGAGTTCCAGGACAGCTGGAGCTACAGGGAGACCCTGTCTCAAAAAGACCAAAAAATAAATAAATAATAATAATAATAATAATAATAATGATAATAATAAGTTAAGGCTGGGGATGTAGCTTAGTGGTAGAGTGCTTTCCTAGCATACACAGTGCTCTTGAATTCAGTCTCCTGTACTGTTAAAAAATAACAATAGATTAAAAAATCAACATGCCTTTAATCCCAGCACTTGGGAGGCAGAGGCAGGCAGATCTCTGTGAGTTCAAGGCTACCCTGGTCTACACACTGAGTTCCAGGACAGCTGGGGCTACAGGGAGACCCTGTCTCAAAAAGACCCCCCCCAAAAAAAGAAATCAGGGGCTGAAGAGATGGCTCAGCAGTTAAGAGCACTGAGGACCCAGGTTCAACTCCCAGCACCCACATGGCAACTAACAACCATTCATAAACTCCAGTTCAGGAGAATCTGATGCTTTCTTCTGACCTCTGCACGCATTTCACGGCATTGGTACACTTAAATTCATGCAGGCACTCATACACATAAAATAAAAATAATAACTGGCCTGGAACTTACTATGTAGACCCAGGCTGGCCTTGAACTCAGATCTGCCTGCCTCTGCCTCCTGAGTGCTGGGATTAAAGGCGTCCACCACCATGCCAATATAATTATTTTTTTCAGACTAGATCTTACTATGTAACCTACCCTGGCCTTGAACTCAAGATCCTTCTGCCTCAACTTTCCTAATGTTGGAATTATAGGTATGCATTACCATGCCTACAAAAGGCTGTATATAAATTTATGGCTCCCTTCACAATTTTTCCCAGTAAAATATTAAGGAAATAATATTAGGAGCACTAAAACAGAGTGGAAAAGGTGAAGATATTAATCACATATCATGTTTGGGAAGCTTTTAGAGTCTTTGTAGGTACTGTGTTATAAACAACATAAACATGTTGTTCTGAGTGCCAGAGATGTGCATGTGACTACAATGTGGCCTTTACCTCCCCAGAGCCTATAGTCTGTTTAGGAAGATAGATAGCTGGCCTGTCAGTCACAGTACATATTGATGCCTGGAGAAGGCATCCTACTCTTGAGTACTGTATATAACAGGGAAACATAGGTCAGTGGGGTGGCACACGCCTTTAATCCCAGCACTTGAGAGGCAGAAGCAGGTGGATCTCTTTGAGTTCAAGGCCAGCCTGGTCTGTATAGCAAGTTTCATGCCAGCTGAGACTACAGGGAGACCCTGTCTCAAAAAACAAAAGAAGCATAATGGAGGTTGTTACTTCTATATTTTATATTAATTTTGAGCTATGTTAACATTCCTGCAGCCCAGACCACCCTCCCAGTGCCTTTCCCCTTACTTTCAGCCAGTGTCTTAGATGAAGGCATAGGTTTGGCTTGAGTAGACATTGCCCTGAAGAGTATGGAGAATTCTTTGGGGGGTATGAGAAGTTGTATTACACTACCCTTCATGCTAACCACCACCACCACTTGCTTTGTAACATTACAGAGCACCTACTGTTCCACCATGGTCCAGCATTGTGAAGCCCTCAACCGGTCTGTCCAGGTGGTCAACCTAGATCCAGCAGCAGAACACTTCACCTACCCTGTGATGGCTGGTAAGTCTTGGCAGAACCTCTCCCTCGGGCATAGTAAAGCTCAGAAGCCAGTGAATGCTGGTTGCTCATGCCAGAAACTGAAATCAGTTACTACAGGCTCACCCAAGGTTTCATGGTGAACAAGAGGCTGAAGGGTCATTTGGTGATATGTGTTTGTAGGTATTAGTGTGACAGCATCCTTTCTTGGGCTTTGGTATGAGACTTAAAAGTGAGTGGAAGCCAGGATTGTAATGGTGTTTTGTTTTGTTTTGGGGGGTTTTGTTTGTTTGGCTGGTTAGCTGGTTTTTGTTGTTTTTGTTTTGTTTTGGTGTTTTTAAAACAGGGTCTCCCTGTAGCCCCAGCTTGCCTGGAACTTGCTATGGAGACTGGACTGGCCTTGAACTCACAGAGATCCACCTGCCTCTGCCTCCCAAGTGCTGGGATTAAAGGTCTGCGCCACCACACCCAACTAATAAAAATTTTTTTAATTGGAAAAAAAATAATAAAGCTCAAGTAAAACCTGTTCATTTAGAATGAAGATAAATATTTGGGTCCACAGCAGTCTAGGCATATAAATCCCTGTGACAGATGACCACATAGTAGGAGGGAGCTTGGCTAGAGAAAAGGACAAAGACTAAACCTTGAAGTTGTATGTTCTTCTGATTCTAGTAGAAGAGAATTCAGTAAGGTAGGAGGAAAGTACAGCATCGGAAAAGATAAGGGAATTTATTTTATGTATTTATTTTATGAGACAGGGTTTTACTATGTAGCCCTAGCTGGCCTCAGACTCAGAGATCTGTCTGTATCTCCTTGAGTGCTGAGATTTTAGGCATGTGCCACCACACCTCACTCTTTTTTTTTTTAACACATTTGATTCTTACAGGAAATTCTGTGCCTTGAAGTTTTCACTTAATACACCTGGGAGACTATATCAGTACTGGAAGAGAGTCCCTCCCTTTATTTTCTATTTATTATTTTTATTTTATGTGTATGAGTGTATTGCCTGCATGTGTATAAGTGCACCTGTGTCCTGCAATAATACCCTCGGAGGTCAGAAGAAGACATCAGATCCCCTGGAACTGGAATAAAACAGATGGTTATTAGCCACCGTGTGGGTTCTGGGAATCGAATCCAGGTCTTCTGCAAGAGCAGTCAGTACTCTTAAATGCTGAGCCATCTTTCCAGTCCCCATCCCCTCCCCCCATTCTTATGTTTGCACAGTATCCACTGTGCAGTGTCTGTCGTAATTTATGTATTCTGTTCCCTATTGGTGGATACTGGTACATTGAAAAAAACATACATATACAAGTTATAAATTTTGTTTTTTGTTTTCTTTTTTACTTTATGCATGTGTGTCTGTCACATGTATAGTGGTACCATGGGAATCCACAAGAGGACATCAACTCTCTTGGAACAGGAGTTACAGGCAGTTATAAACAGCCTGATGTGAGTGCTGGGAACTGAACTCTGGAAGAGCAGGCAGCATTTTTAACCACTGAGCCATTTCTCCAGGACCCCCACCCCCCCCGTACGTGTGTGTGTGTGTGTGTGTGTGTAAGTAACTGAACCTGGAGTCTGCAAGCCCCAGCAGTCCTCCTGTACTCACCCTTACAGCACTAGAGTTACAGGCCTGTGGTCATGACCAGCTTTTAGCATGGGTCCTGGAGATTCAAACTCAGTTCCTCATGCTTATGCAGCAAGTGCTCTTACCCACTGAGCCATTTCCCCAGCTCCACACATGGGTTTTTATATACTTGTTAATTACTACTAGGAAGGATAATAATTTTCAAGTGGACACTCATTCTGGTCCCTGCCTGGCTCTTCAGACATACGAGAACTAATTGAGGTGAATGATGTGATGGAGGATGATTCTCTACGGTTTGGTCCCAATGGAGGATTGGTATTCTGCATGGAGTACTTTGCCAATAATTTTGACTGGCTAGAGAACTGTCTCGGCCATGTAGAGGACGACTACATCCTTTTTGACTGTCCCGGTAAGTCAGTGACATGAAATGTGTTGTCTTCCCTGAAGTTGTGATAGTTGTGTTCGCCATGGGAGATAGTTGTATTTATAGTTCTGAACTACTGCACTGAGATTCAGTTTATTCATTGAGTTTGTCGAGTGTTTACTTTTTGCATTGAGAATGATCTAGTGAACAAGGGAACTGGGGTTACTGCCATGGAATTACAGCCTAGTGACAAGCAAGAGCATATAAATGAAGTCACCTTATGACAGGTGACTCACAGAAGTAACACAGACTGTCCTACAGCAGAGAGGTTCAGGGGGCTTCTAATGAATTGGCCTTTAAGCTAGGCTACAGGATGAAAGTGAGACAGTTGTATAGGCAGAGGGCAAAGAGGTCGGAGTATCTGGGACACAGCGAACAAAGGTGTCATGAGGTGAGACTGGTAAGGTAGGTAATCTCACACAGCTTCTCATGGCAAATTGTGAACTTCAGACTGGAGCTGAACTCAGCTTTGTTCATTTGTGGCCCTCATTTGTTTTTTGTTTTTTAGGTGTTTTGATATTTTTTATTTGTTTGTTTATTTTTCATTAAACATACATAACCCTCTGAAAAGTATATATCATAGATGTAAGGCTTGGTGTATATTCCCGGATAGATCACCCCTTTGTGCTCGGGTTTTTGTTTTTCTGTACTGGGGATGGAACCCAAGGCTAGTTTGTATCAAACAAGCACTCTGCCACTGGGCTGCTTCCCTAGCCCTAGCATTGGCAAAAGCTAAAGTATGAAAAACTTCATTTTCTCCATGAAATGTGATAATCTGCTTTTCCCAAGGAGGCAGCACCTTAGGCTTTATGGTTGTTTTGAGAGGCTGTACCACCCCTTAAAAATTGAGTGGAAAAACAAAACAAAAACAAAAAAACCTGAATACACAGGTTTGGGGTATAGCTTAGTCATAGAGCACTTGCTTAGCACACCCAAGGCCATGGTTAATCCCAACATCACAAACAAAAAAGCAAAACACCTGAATATATTACTAGAAATTGACTCTTCCCCTTCCCCCACCCCCAGTACTGGGGATTAAACCTAGGGCGTCATACATGCTAGGCAAGCATCCTACCACTACACAACCCCCCTTTAATCCATGGGAGCAACCTGTGTTCTCTGTGTAATGACGTACTGTTCTCGTGGTGTTCTTCCCATAGGTCAGATTGAATTGTACACTCATCTGCCTGTGATGAAACAGCTGGTTCAGCAGCTCGAACAGTGGGAGTTCCGAGTCTGTGGAGTTTTTCTTGTTGATTCTCAGTTCATGGTGGAATCATTCAAGGTCTGAGGATTAACTAAAAAGTAGACTTGGGGAACTGGAGAGATGGCTCAGCAGTTAAGAGCACTGACTACTCTTGCAGAGGACCTGGGTTGGAGTCCCAGCACCCACATGGAGGCTAACAATCATCCATAACCCCAGTCCCAGGGGATCAGGTGCCCTCTTCTGACCTCCATGGGCATTGCATGACATGGGTGCACTTACACACATGCAAGCAATACACTCATACACATAAAATAAAAATAATAAATAAGGGGCTGGAGAGATGGCTCAGTGGTTAAGAGCACTGACTGCTCTTGCAGAGGACCCAGGTTTAATTCCCAGCACCCCCATGGTGGCTACAAACCGTCCTTAACTCCAGTTCCAGGGGAATCTGAAGCCCTCTTCTGACCTCTGTGGCGTTGCACGACACGGGTGCACTCACATACATGTAGGCAATACACTCACACATATAAAATAAAAATAATGAATAAAATTTAAAAAAATATTTAAAAAATAGATTTGGGGAACTGCTTATGAAATAAAAATTGAGACAAATAGGTGTTATATAAAGTAGTGTATTTTTAAAAAACTAGCTGGGCATGGTGGTTCATGCCTATAATCCCAACACTCAGGAGGTTGGGGTAGGAGGGTTTCTGTTAGTCCAAGGCTAGCTAGGGCTACATGTCTCAAAAAAATCAATTTTTAATTTTCTAAGGTTAAGGACTTTTTGTCTAGTTTAGAAACTATCTAAATCAGTTTTACTTCTCATTAGTAGCTCTTCAAGAGTTTGAATTTGAGAAAGGAGGCTAACAATGCTATTTAAATTGAGAAATGTGATCACTGTAGATTTATTGATTGACTGATTTGGGACAGAATCTTGCTATGTAGCAAAGGCTGGCCTAGAACTCTATCCTCCTGTCTTAGCTGGGAATAAAGATATGCCACACCAATCTGGTCACTGTAGATGGAGTCTCATTTTTACCTTTGGAGTCAAGGGTCAGCCATCTGATTAGCACATGTCTTTCTGTAAGATTGGCATTCTTTCATTTGGGCCAGTTTTCCTCCAGTGAATTGGGAGAACCATATTGGCAGCAGCTGGCTCATCTTCCCTGTTCTGATTTCTCCTTCAGTTTATTTCTGGCATCTTGGCAGCCCTGAGCACCATGATATCTCTAGAAATCCCGCAAGTTAACATCATGACGAAGATGGATCTGCTGAGTAAGAAAGCTAAGAAGGAAATTGAGAAGTGAGTTCACTGATCTTGTGTTCCTGGCAGAGCTATGGAGATGAGTTCCCTGTGTCACTGAGACGTAAGGCTCTCTGAGACTAGTTTCCCACTTATTTTTAAAGGTTTCTAGATCCAGATATGTACTCTTTGTTAGAAGATTCAACAAGTGACTTAAGAAGCAAAAAATTCAAGAAGTTGACTAAAGCTCTATGTGGACTGGTAAGCTTTAGAAATGTAGTTTTTTGGGTCTTCTCTAAATGACTTGGTCAAGTGTTTGTGCACATCCAACTAAGTTAGTGGCTGTTGTATGGGCAGTATAATCCAACTGTATTTCCTGCAAAAGGGGATGGGGTGGGCTGGAGAAACGGCTCAGTGATTAAAGTACTTGCCAATCTTGCAGAGGATCTGACACCCACTATGCCCTCTATGAGCACCCACACACATAAATAAAATTTAAAAAATAAAAATAAAAAGAAGGTAGTACAGTCTTAACACATCTGTTAGTTTTAGCCTTTCAGATAGCTCAAAACTGTTTGTGCCTTTATGACACTCTGCTGGGTGTGAAATTGAGGTAAATACCCATGAACCAGCTTCTGGTTAAGTAGGAAGCCAAGATGTGTAGGAGCTGGTCAGAGGTGGGAAGGTCAGTCACGATCTGCTGCTCCTCTGTCTCTGCCTATCCCTTTCCCTCTCCTAACCCAGCATACTAATTTGGTTTGGGTATTTTTGGGTTTTTTTTTTGTTGTTGTTTTGTTTTGTTTTGTTTTGAGACAGGATCTTTCTGTAGCCCTAGCTGTCCTGGAACTCTCTATGTAGACCAGGCTGGCCTTGAACTCACAGAGATTCGCCTGCCTCTGCCTCCTGAGTACTGGGACTAAAGGCATGTGCCACCAAGCCTGGCGTTAATTGGTTTGTTTTTATTTTACATTTATTTGTGTACATGTGTGCACAAACACACATGTGCAGGCATGTGTGCCAAGGCATGCATGTGGAGGTCAAACAGCCTGTGAGAGTCGGTGCTCTCCTTCTATGTGGGCTCTGGGATTGAACTTAGGTCATCAGGCTTGGTGGCAAGCACCCTTATCCACTGAGTCATCCGACTAGCCCAGCTCACATCATAAGAAACACAAATGATTATAAAACTCAGCCTTCGGGAGGCAGAAGCAGGCAGATCTCTGAGTTCTAGGCCAGCCTCGTCTATTAGCAAGTTCCAAGCTAGCCAGAGCCACATAGTGAGACCCTGTCTCAAACTAATAAACCAACCTCAAACCCAAGATGAAAATAATAGATGTTGCACAATCTTAGAATGAACCTTTCTTGAAATCCTCAATTTGTAGATTGATGACTACAGCATGGTTCGATTTTTACCTTATGATCAGTCAGATGAAGAAAGCATGAACATTGTATTACAGCACATTGATTTTGCCATTCAGTATGGAGAAGACTTGGAATTTAAGGAACCAAAGGTAATTTCTGATTTGGGGTGCTTCTTGGCTTTGGAGAAAAATGGTAACCAGCACTTACTGGCCTCCTGGTTAATCTCAGCACCACCTTATTTTGTCTTGGTGTGGCTGTTATCTGGGCTTTCCTACCTTGTCCCCAAAACTGACACTTGTGTTTAACAGGTGGGTTTGGCTTCACTCTTACCTTTTTTTGAGGCAGTATTAAGTTTCTGCACTGGGAACTTAAGGATATATACAGAAGGGGTAGAATCTGTTTGGACTTAAGTGGCTTTTACACGCGTCACTGAGGAGACTCAGGATAGCTGTCAGAGCACAGTCAGAGGTCATTGACTGAGGATCATCGTGAATGTGGTTTAAATGACAACACTTCGCATGAGTTATAAGCAAGTCAGTTTACATCTGGAACAGTGCTGTCAGTCTTAGATGCTCTTATCATTAATGATCACATATGAGCAGTACCCAGAGCTAGCCCTGGATACTTGTTCCATATAGAGCCTTACCTGAACAGTATGTAGGCACACACTAGGCTGAGAGGAATGAGTGCATTTTCTATTTCCTTTGTGTCAGGAACATGAAGATGAATCTTCCTCCATGTTCGATGAATATTTTCAAGAACGCCAGAATAAGTGAAGAGCTTACTGCAAAGTGACTGTGTATGAAGCATGCAGCCACATCAGCAGAGCAGTCTCCTGAAGGATGTGATGTAGGAAGCTACTTATTTTAATGAGAAGAATACCCAGCTCTTTGCCTAGAATATGCCTGAATTAAGTTCTGGGTTATTCTGAAACTGCTGCTCTTTCAAGTGGGATATTTTATTCTGACAGCATCATTTTGGATTTTAAAACTCAAAGTTGGAATCAATGCACAAAGATTTGTATATAATATAAATTAACTGTACTGTACAGTTATGGCCAGTCTAACTTTATTTTTATAGTTGGGTTTTTGTTTTTGAGGGGATTTGGTTTTGGTTTGTTTGTTTTTGGAGAGGCTTAAGTTTTTGTGATGAAATATATATCTACGTCCAAATGAAAACAATATGGAAGAATATACATAAATCTTATTTTCCTATTATTTGTATAATTATGATTAAAACTTTTGAGATATATATGTATTATTAGAAACAGAAAGTCCATATCTTTCATTACTCTCTTGTTTTCCAGGCAGAATTTGAAAAACAAATTCCAGGAGGATTGGGACTAGGAAGACCCTGTTTGTAAAAAATAAAATCCCTTCTGTTCTGGATTAAGAAATGAAAAGAGAGAGAGAGAGGTGGGGGAGGAAGGAAGGAAGAAAAAAAAATCCAGAAAACTCTCAAATGGGTTCATTTCCCCAAGTGTCAAAATGTAGGCAGAGTTTGTTTAGAAATCTAGTTTAAATCTATGTAGATATAATCACTGATGCTCCTAATCCCAGCACTCAGGAAGCAGAGGTAGAAGTCCCATGAGTTAAAGCCAGTCTGGGTTACATAGTGAGACCTGGTCTCAAAAATTAAATACATAAATAATTTTGGTTTGTAGTCTCTGAACATTTAAAAGTTTAGATAGTCCTTGAATAGTACATACTCAAAAACAAAAGAAAGAATTTTCTTTTTCTTACTGCTACATCGAATTATGTTCAGGATTTCAGTTTGTGGATGTGGGGTGTGTGCAGGCTGTGGGGAGTGGCTAGTCAGTAGATACTTCTAGCACCCCTACACATCAGGCTGTCAAAGCAAGGCTGTCTTACTGGGTATTGCTAGGCATTGCATTATGAAACATTTTACATAATCCCTTTCATTTAATCCCTGAAACAGGCTTAAGGCTTCACTGGTTATTTGGTGACCAATCTGTCAGCTAACATTAAGTAAGCTCTCAGAGAAATCATTTTATTCAGGTTACATTTTATTACTTTGGCTTAAAGGAACAAGTCTCCCTAACAGAGTCAAATTTGATGTATTTTCATTAAAGAAGGCAATTGAGGAGCCTAAGGTATCTCTGGTAGCTTGTACCTGGATGCCCAGGCTCTGGAATTGGGTGTCTGTTGTGGACTGACAGAGCTGCTCTCACAGGACCAGTCTGGGGAGACCTCCATAATAGGAAAAGACATACCAGACTCTTGTTGAAAGAGTAGGAATGCAGAGAAAGAAACATGATGAGCATTCAATGGTGACAGTTCAAGATTACAGCTAAGGAGGTTTATCTGCCCTTTATTCCCATGGTGGTCCCTGTCTGTCTCACCATGACAGGAAAAAGGGAGCCAGAAACACCTCAAATAGGCACCAGAAAATCAGATACCTGTAATGCCAGCATGCAGGAAGTGGATTTAGAAGAATCATAAATTCAAGGTAATCCTTGAGTACATAGCTAGTTTGAGGTCAGCCTGGGCTACACGAACTCATAGTCTCAAAAAAACAAGAAAAAGGGCCAGAGAGGTGGTTCAATGGGTAAGGGCTCATGTCAACAAGCCTGATGAATTGCGTCAAAATCCCCAGAATTCACAAGGTTTCCGGAAAGAGAATGGCCTGTGGGAATCAGTGTTTTTGTTTTTTTTGTTGTTGTTGTTGTTGTTTTATCTTTTTGAGGCAGAGTCTCCCTGTAGTCCCAGATGTCCTGGAACTCACTATGTAGACCAGGCTGGCCTCGAACTCACAGTTTTTTGTTTTTTAAATATCTAAGCGGGAAGGCTAAGGTAGGGGACTGAGCGGTGTTGGATTTAAAACTGGCCAGAGGATGCTTTGCCAAGAAGGTGACCTCAGGGAACACCGGAGATGGGTTAACTACTGGAAGGGGCTTCTAATTCCAAACCATTCTTTTTCTATGCACGTTTTACGCATGCGCCAAATCTCTGGGCCCTTCACGCGTGCTCTGGCGCTCCTTGGCGTTTCTTGTGATTAAGCGCAGGCGCGGACAGCCAGGCCGGAAATGCGACTCGACTCGCTGACCTCTTCCGGCTTACTTCCGCCCACTCCACCCTGGCTCACAGGTCGGAAACGCTGTTGCTTCGGGTTGAAACCGGAACGCTGCCAGGATGCCGGTAAGGCTTCGAGCCCCGCGTGCAGGGAGGCGGCGGGAAGCTAAGGAGAGGCGGAAGGGCCAGCGCTGGAAGGCCGGAGCCGGGGGACGGCCTGCGGCGTGGGAGACCGCCGCCCTGCCTCCCAGTCCTCCGGACACTCTTCCTCCAGCCCCGGCCCTGCTCTCCCGGCCTGCCTCTTCCTCCAGCCCTGGCTGTGCTCTCCAACCCCGGCCCTGCTCTCCCGGCCTGCCTCTTCCTCCAGCCCCGGCTGTGCTCTCCCGGCCTGCCTCTTCCTCCAGCCCCGGCTGTGCTCTCTAGCCCCGGCCTGGCTCTTCCTCCAGCCGGGGCTCTGCTCTCCGGCCCCTGCTCTTCCTCCAACCCGGGCACCTTTTCTTCAGCTCTTGCTCTTTCCTCTAGTCCCGGCCCTACTATCCAACCTGGCTCTTTCCTCCAGCTCCCGTCTCTTTTCTCGCCCCACTGGTCACCAACCGCCAAGCAAGCAGGGTTTCCAAAGCCTCCGCGAAGCGAAGAGCGATGCATTTTTAATTTTTCGTTTTTGGTTTTGAATCTAAGGTCCAGCTTCTCTTTTTTTCTTTTTTCTTTTTTTTTTTCCACCCTATCACTTCCACTTCCTCTTCCGCCCCAGGGGCGGGTCCGCCTGCTTCTTGTCACCTGTCAGACTCAAGTCCTCCCTGCTCCCCACCCCCGTCAACGCTAGTTGCCAGGTGTTTCCTTTTCCGTGTGCATCCTAGTGGGAGTAAAAATTGATGATGGTGCGATAGTTCTAAACAGTCTCCGCTCCATTTTTCAGATTAGTAAAGGAAGTGGTTCAGTAACATACACATTCATCATTACTGAGCCGCCCCCCCCCTTAGTTTCCAGCAGAAACTAAGGTCTGTGCTTAAGGAGACTGCATTATAATTAGGTAGACAAAATTAGGAAATAGTTTCAGATTGTTACAGATGGTATAGAGGAAATAGATGGATAATAGTGGCACTTGTTGGTCATCCCAGCACTTGGGAGGCAGAGGCAGGAGAATTCCAAGTGTGAGGTCAGCTTGTACTATATAAGGGAAAGGCTGTCTCCAAAAAGGGGGAAAAAATAAAGAGGCTTGGGAGATTCCTCAGTGGGTAAAGTGCTTCCTGTGCAAGGGCACAGCAGCCTGTGTCTCTAACCCCAGCCCTGAGGAGGCAGAGATAGGCAGATCCTGGGTGTTCATTGACTAGACATTCTAGCCAAGTTAGCAAGCTTCAGATTCAGTTAGAGATCTTGTGACATAAAATAAGGTGGTAGTAGCTGGGGAGAGGGTTCAGTGGGTAAAGTGCTTAGTGTACTAGCATGAGGACCAGTGATACATCCCCAGTATCCACACAAGAAGTGGGGGAGGCAGGCTACATTTGTGATTACCAGCATTTGGGAAATGTAGGGGCTCCTTGGCCAACCAGCCTAGCGACTTGGTGAGCTCCAGGTTCAGGGAGAGACCTTATCTCAGAATAAGGTGGGGCAGCAGTTAAGGAAGACATCTGGTATCAACTTCTGTTCTCTACACACACACAAATACACGTACATGTACACATACATAACCACACACACAAAAGATGGAAAACAATTGAAGAACACACCCAGATTTGACCTCTGGCCTTCATGCATGTATACATACACAGACACACACACAGGAAAAAAAAATTCCTTGTGAAGGAGACTGCTGTAAATAAGGTATACTTGTATTAAAAAGGAGCAAGCCATAGTTCCATCTATGTGTATATGTACTGGGAATTGAACCCAGGGCCTCATGTGTGCTGCACAGATGCTCCACCACTGAGCTATATCCCTACCTCCTTTTTCCTTTTTATTTTGAGAGTCTCACTGAAGTTGATCAGACTGGCCTTGAAATTGTGATCCTTCTACCTCCCAAGTAGCTGAGATTACAGGCCTGCATCACCATGTTCAGCTTAGATGTTTAAAGAATTTTAAAGTTGACACCTCAGGCTGGAGAGATGGCTCAGTGGTTAAGAGCACTGACTGCTCTTGCAGAGGACCCAGGTTCGATTCCCAGCAACCACATGGCGGCTAGAAAGTATCTGCAACTCCAGCTCCAGGGGATCTGATGCCTTCTTCTGACCTCTGTGGGCATTGCACACTTACATACATGCAGGCAAAACACT